TATTCAAGGAAGGGATTGGTAAACTTCTCAGATGCAAGCGAAACTACACATCAACACTGATATACTGCTGAAGTAGCAACATCATACAGGCATGAAAATGACTGGTAAAGAAAAACACTGAAAACCCCCGAGGCGGGGAGGGAGATTTTTTAATTTTGGGGGTCAGAATCATGCAATCTGGTGCATTCTGTAATGAGCTTTTTAACCTTATATTTAAAGAGAATCTGGATTAAGATAATTCCATATAGCAGAACACATACCGAAACAGGATCTGAATAAACATTTTTATAATACATGTACGTGCACACGCAAGAACCAGCGTGCACCCAGGGTACACTGGTTCGCGGCCGCACTGTTTGTCGCAGAGCGTGTACATTGTCTAGCAGAGCATGAGGCCGAATACCAGTCTACCCTTCGGTGGCTTGCTGCCAGCCGCAGTAGACGATCGATAAACCGTGCGCCTATACATATGCCCGTAGTAGCGTGCTGCACGGGAAAAGTGAAAATCCGCAGAAATGCGGAAAATTTTCATGCCTGATCATAGGAGTTCCTTTTCACATACGCCGAGACGTGGAAGCTGAATTAGACAGACTTATCAAACTTGACATTATTGAGAAGGCAGATGTCCCGACGCTATGGATAAGCCCTATTGTCATCATCCCCCAGAAAAATGGGAAAACGCGCATCTGCATTGACATGAGAGCAGCAAACACTGCAATCGTACGTGAGAAACATCAACATGCCAACAATCGACGAACTGATCTCCGATTGAAATGGCAGTATCGTATTCAGCATATTAGATCTCACGAGTGCATATCACCAGCTTGGATCCGAAATCGTGATACATGACAACGTTTAGCACACACATAGGATTATTCCGCTATAAGCGACTTCTTTTCGGTGTCAACGCAGCATCTGAAGTGTTTCAGAGCACGATCGCCAAGATTCTCAGTGATCTCAAGGGTTATCTCAACATATCAGATGACATTATCGTTCACGAAAAAACAAGGCCAGAGCACAACGCAAACTTGAAAGCAGTTCTGAAGCGCCTACAGGACTACAATGCCAGACTCAACTTGGAGAAATGCAAATTCGTGCAACCTCATGCGTCACTCTATGGACATGTTTTCGGGAAAGATGGCTTAGCAGCAGATCCGAAAAAGATCGACGTGCTTGTTAACGCTCCACCGCCAACCAACGCATCCGAAGTAAAGTCCTTCCTAGGCATGGCGCAATACGTGTCGCGTTCCGTTCCTAACTATGCCACAATCACGACGCCATTACGCAAACTGACACGACAAGACACACCGTGGATATGGGAAAGCCGCCACGAAGACGCATTTCGAGATCTGCAGAAAGCACTAGCCGGAGCCCATGTTATGGAGCATTTGGATGCGAGAAAACCGTCCGATATCATCGTCGATGCTAGCCCGACTGGTCACGGGGCAATATTCACGCAGAACAACAAGGTCATTAGCTACAATAGTCACGCCCTCTCCAAGGTCGAATCGCGCTACTCGCAAACTGACAGAGAGATGTTTGCAGTGGTATGGGGGGCAGAACATTTCCACCTATACATCTATGGCTCAGATTTTACGATCAGACCAGACCATAAGCCGCTCCTTGGGATCGTGAACAGCACTAAACCAGGTTCTGCCAGGATCGAGAGATGGCGCCTGCGTTTAACTCCCTACAACTTCAATCTTGTCTACAAACCTGGATGCAACGAGAACAATCCTGCGGATTTCTTGAGCCATCACCCAGCTAAATCGTCAGCCGAAGCCGAAAATATCGCGGAAATATTTGTGAACTATGTCTGTCAGAACGCGGTGCCGAATGCTATGTCCGTTGATCAAATCCGAGAAGCGTCTCGCACTGACCCGGTTATCCAAAAGCTACAAGCAGCACTGAAAACTGGCAACTGGAAAGACAAGGACTAAACACTGTACAAAGCAATTCGAGATGAGTTCATGAGCCATGATGGTATGATACTGCGACAAACACGCTTACGAATTCCCGCAGAGCTACAGTAGAAAGCCGTTGATCTTGCACATGTAGGTCACCAAGGCTAGGTGAAAACAAAACGCCTGCTACGCTCCAAGATCTGGTTCCCAGGAATCGACAAGATGGTAGAGAAAGTCGTCCAGCAATGCATACCGTGCCAGGCAACAACTCGAAAGTCTATGCCACCAGAACCTCTCGTTATGTCCAGCCTTCCAGCAGCCCCATGGTGTGAAGTCTCAAACTTTGCCGGTCCACTACCATCAAATGAAATATTGTTAGTGGTCATAGATAATTACAGCAGATTTCCGGAGGTCGAGATCGTTCATTCAACCTCAGCGAAAACAGTCGTTCCGAAACTGGACAATATCTTTGCTCGACAAGGGACACCAGAAACTGTTCGATCACATAACGGACCACCGTTCAATAGCGATGACTTTGACAACTTCGGAAACCATCTCGGTTTCCATCATCGTAAGATAACTCCGTTGCATCCAGAAGCAAACGGTGAGGTGGAACGCTTCATGGACACGATGATGAAAGCTATTCACACAGCGACCATCGAGAAGAAAAGCTGGAAACAAGAACTTAATCGTTTCTTGCGCCAGTATCAGACAACTCTTCACTCGACAACTGGTGTCGCCCCAGCTGAAGCGCTATACAACCGTCGTTTCCGCACCCAACTTCCACAAATGCCGGAACCCGATACACCGCCATTCCAAGACACACGTTCCAAAGTAGAGGAAAAAGACAAGCTGAAGAAACAAACTATGAAAAGCTAGGTAGACGAGAAACGCCGCGCCAAAGTCTCGGACATTCGCGAAGGCGATACTGTATTGGTCCGCCAATGCCGTCAAAATAAGTTCAGATCATATTTTGTCCCTGAACCGCTAACCGTTGAAAGGAAGAAAGGCAGTATGGTCACTGCTCGCCGAGGATCGTTCACAATCACACAGAACGTTACCCATTTCAAGCGCATTGACACAACACAACGTGACGAAGAACCAGCAGATGATGATCCCGATGACACTGGATAACGCCGGTGATGCCGACCACGAAACTCTGCCCAAGGATAGAAACAGCAGCAGTCCACTGAAATCCACTGAGAGCGCAAACACAGGTTACCAGTCCGTTTCAGAGATCATACCGGACTACCCAAACACTTCGCAAACAAATAAGTGTTGACTGGTAATCATGCCGTGTTAAGCTCAGTTGGGGAAACAATCCAATGGTAAAGATTGGATTATCGAGGTGAAGTACTGGGGACCTCTCCCTCTTTGTTTTCCACAAACTGAATTTGGCATAATCACTATGTTGAGTTCTGTTCGTGTCAAGAGCAACTATGTTTGGAAGAGTTAGTTGTTCTTATGTGTTTTGACTGTATAAATTGTTTGTAATTTGTAGTTTGATTTGATATTCGCTCTGCCGTAAGTTCATGAGTTTCAGCAAAGATTTCCGTATAATCATTAGAAGACCATGATAATAGTGTTGAACATTTAGACTCCATTATTGTTCCATATCGTGAATCAGACATAATTGTCGATAGGCTTCAAGTGTTACCTAACATGCCTAATCACGGTTTCTATTATACAGATCGAACAATGTTAAAAGAGAACAAGTTCTTATCTAGAAAGGGAGGAATGTAGTGTTCATGTAATTCCGAAACCCCCTTCGGTTCTCCCCTAGTGAGCATTCTATGTACCAACAGGAACAGGAAGCTCAGCCAAAAACAGATGATCAGCATTATGTAGCTAGCAGAATTATTCAATAAAAGTATTGTGATTAAATCCAGACTTATCGTCACTTCAAAGTTGTGCAAATGGACTTTTGAGCCAAGGGAAGACCGAGGGTGTTTCTTATTTATTAATTTAAAAGCAGAAAGATTGCAATATCTTATAACCACATATAGTTTCAGTTATAATATGGATAAATTTGTCATAAAATTAATATCGTTTGGTTAACTAGCATTTAGGTACAGGGTTCTCCCCAGGATGAAATTCAAACAGGGGGGAGGGGAGGGGTAGGGGAAGGGGAGGGGTAGGGAGAGGGGGGAAACTAGGGGGAGGGAGGAGGGGGGAAACTAGGGGGGTCCGGGAGCGTGTATTTTTACCGTACCACTAATTAATGCGTAAAATCGCCACCACACCATAGACGGTATTTGGGGTTCTTGTATATATAAGATAGCCGAGTCGGTGTACAGTTAGTGACAGGTTAACTGTTACCGGTTCGGCACAGGTTATCTGTGTGTTGTCAGGTTAACTTGTGTACTGTCTGCAGTGCATGCGTGGTACGGTAAAAATACACGCGTCGGATGTCCTGGTCGAACGGGAATTCTTGACGATCGATTCCCGCGCTGGCAAACTTTTATTGTGGTGGAATTTAATCGGGGCGGAGGTATTTCAAACGGGGCGCAACGATTCAAACAGGGGGGAGTTTCCCAAAACGGGGCGCGCGCGCCCCGTTTGCGCAACGTAGGGAGAACCCTGAGGTATACTATAAATATAATTGCACTTTTGTGATTAGCCCTCAGTCTGTAACTTGCAAAATTAATTGGCAAATGCGCAACTTTTTCAGGGTGGCAGCACGGTCGCGGGTGTCATGACAGCGCCCAAAAATGAAGATTTAGAAATTCAATGTTGTTTTATGACAAACGTGAACAGTGAATGCGTAAGTATAGATATTTATAGGTATGTGCTATTATTTATAAATCAACTATCATAATATACTCTCAAATTCTAGAGTAAAGTATTCCTTTAACAATAATATTGAATATTTCTAATTAATATTGAACATTGAAATTTTTTATGTCGCGTAATTTAAACCTATTTTAACTGAAAATATACAAGGAACCTAGTAGGAACCTATATAGGGTCATGTATCCCTTTAAAAAACAACCTTATCCACTAACATGTTTTTAGTGTTAGCAACACCATTTTTTTAACCAAATTCCTTAATAAATATACTAAAAATTAGTCATTTTAATAGAGTGTCATACTTACCGGAATTTTTGAAACTGTGGCTTGCTTTTGCTGTCTGTCTGTCTGGTGTAGTCCATGCATGTCAGCCATAATTCTTCCACAATGCTACCAACAAAACAAACAACATTGTACATCTAGAATTATTCTCTTAAAAAGGCCAAAATGTTTAAACAGAAATCATCCTATTGATATCTTACCGATTACTACAACAAAATAATTACCTCGAATTCATCATGTTGAACATTATAAAACATAAACTGAACGGACAATTCGCAGCTGAATTTCTAAGTGTTACGACCATATAAGTAGAAAATGGCACCCAAACGTAAGTGTACGATCCTGTATGATATGAAACGTGCCTTCCGATTTAATTGGAGTTAATGAAATATAGAGATGAACAAACTACTAACAAAGGAACAGCAACAGGCCAGAAAGGAAGACCCGATACATGAAGACCAGGAGTTGAGCAACTATTATATAAGCAAGAATGGATGGGACCGAGAACATGTATCGATCCTTTGTCACTGGCCACTGTACATGTTGAAGAGACTTCAAACTGACTCGCACCGCATTTCCTTTCAAATACGTTTTTCTCTATTATTTCTGCCTTATTTACCATACGTCAACACAAATACAGCAATTCACCAGGGCTACGGCCTATTTCCCAACATTTACTAGATACAGAAACTGTAATTGTGATCAGTGGCGTAGACAGGTCCTCAGTTGTGGGGGGGATGATTTCGCTGTTACCTCCATCATAATGTATATGAAGACTGTGTGCGAGTAGCGCACACTGCGAGAGCCTGGCGCAAAGCCTTAAGTAGGTGGGACCAGGGGCCGCCCGTAGGGCCCTGTGGGGTGCAGGGGCAAGAGCCCTTGCCCGGGGTCCAGGGGGCGGAGCCCCGGAAGCTCTGGATTTTAGCATTTTAGAACTCTCAAGAGTGTCGTTTTTGAGTAATTGAAAAAAAATTACATTGTAAGTGGCAATTTGTGAATTCGAAGGTATTTTTTCTTTGGATCCCGAGTTTAACGGACACGCAACCGTCCCCCACACACACACACCAACCAGTGGCGGATCCAGAAGTGAAATTCTAGGCGGGGGGGCGAATTATGCGCTCGAAGGGGCACGAAGCGCGCACTGTGTGTGCGAAATGTTAAAAAGTATGCAATCTTAAAAGCAATCAATTTGGACATCTTTATCATAAAATATCAGGGATTTTTCCTTCCTATCAGTGGTGTCTCCCTCCTGTTTAGGGAGAGGTCCAGGGGACCTCCCCGGAAAGTTTTTTGAAAGTAAACACCTCTTCGAGCAATTTCCTGGCACTATGAGTGCAGCAACTATTAAACAACTACAGTCACAAATAACATCACCTGTTGAGTTGAGTATTTACCTTTGGACACCAAAGACTAAAATGCTTACTACCGAAATCTGCTGTATAACACTACATGTCCCACTGGGGTTGCCAGTGTCAGACTTACCTAGGCTAAATACCTTTAACCCTGAAAAATTCTAGGGGAGGGCGGCCCGACCGCCCCTGTGCTACCGACCCCCCGTTGACAACTACAGCCACTAGATCCATCTCCCCTGAAATTTTGATAGAAACGTATATTTTACTGAGAAGTGAGAACCTTAAAAGCAAAAGAAATATGAGAAAAACAACCAGATTTGAACCAAATAGTGCAGTATTTTCACCCCTTATACAAAATCGCGCGAATATACTTCGGTCAGAGTCTCAGCACCCCAACATTCCCATCCCCCCTCCCAAAAGTGAGATGAATTTGAATTTCCCCATTCAACCCCCCTAAAAATGCAAATCCCAACTCTCCAATAGGTTCTAGAATTCTAATTTGAATAAATTGAGATAATTCTTTTTTTTAAATATTTTGAGGACGTGATGTGGGAATTTTGAAAAAAAAATCGTATATGGGGAATGCGTCCAAAAATTGAAGCCGTCTGCAGTTTCAGTAAAAGTCATGCTTGAACGAAATTACAGCATTTTTACAGTTAGATTGTATTTCAAATTCCATTTCTGTAATAATACATTAGGAGAGATGAATAGCGATGACGGCATTTGTAGATAAATCATCCAGTATATATGTCCGTTGTAAAATATTAAATATTTTTCCCCCATTTTCTTTCCGGAAAGTAGGGGGTGATGAAAGCAACCCACCTCAATAGTCGTGGGGCGATACACCCCCATCCCCCGCTATCTACGCCCCTGTCAGATGACTCAAATTTGAACTTTTGATATGCATACAAATATTCATTAATCATAATCTTTGTTATCACTACTCTACAGGCGCCGCGGAAACGATTGATTTGAAGTGGGGGTGCTAAATTTGTTACGCTCGAGCAGTGGCTCAATGCAGGATTCTCGAGGAGGGTGGTAAGAAACATGCGGGGGTTACGGGTATGCGGGTCCTCCCCCAGAAAATGTTGAATCCCCCATTTTCCTCCTGAAAGTAGGGGGGGATGATTGTACACGCCATCCCCCCACGTCAATAAGTGGGGGGATGCATCCCCCCCATCCCCCCGCTATCTACGCCCCTGATTGTGATATTCCAGTTTCCATGCTTTGCAGGACCAGGTTGCAGCAAATTATCTTATTAATTTCGCATTTGGTAGATATTGCCTTATACTGATACCAGAGGGGTTTAATCTGAAACATAAGAAATCTTTATATTTAACCCCACTGATATAGATCAGGATATACAATATGCATACCATACCTGTTTCATGAGCTCATCACGCAATGCAATCTTAAATCTTATATTCGCCTTTCCACACTGATCGATTGAAGCTTTGGCTGCCAGTTCCTTCTGCTGTTTTACCAGACGGTCCTCTATTACAGCTGCCTGAATTGCATCTGGCTCCTGAGAAAAACAATTGAATATAGTCAAACTAGAACATATAGAATAGAAACTAAAATAGAAACTTGAATATATTGATGCCTTTTAAAGTACTCATAATTTATTCATCACCATAACTGATAACACTATTTACAAGAAAAATAGTTAAGCCTAAGTCATACTGACATTATACTTCATAAATTTAGAATTATTTCACCCACACAATTCACTGATATTATAGCCAGGATAACTACCGGCCACAAAAATACCTAACCTTCCACGCCCATTATAAACCGGACAATGATATTGGCATGAATATATTATGTATTTTCCAATGATACATATATTCATGCCATTATTACTCAGAAACATTTTCAGCTGCGTAGTTTATTCCTTGCTGACAATGCTTTAATAAGGTCTGACAAAGCTTTATTCCATTTTGTGACTGTTGTGATGCTGTGCTATTTTTATATAATCATACACACTAATACATAAATAAAAGGGGTAGGAATACATTGGCGTGCAGGAACACAGCAACCAATGCTATGTAATCGGTGTCTACAATGTCAGAATAAACTACCAGTTGTACACGTAATGAGTCTCTGCATGTCTTGTGTTTTATCCATAGTAGCATAGATTAAGACATGGTGTTGGGGAACAGAGACGAACAACGTCTATTCAAATAACTATTTTGTGTGTTGACAAGCTGAGCATCCAGAGCATTGTCGAATTTTCAACTTTCGTTTCACATCCGATCACCACAATCGAAGAGACTCCCGCCATTGCTACTTAGCAGACGTTTGCATCAGTATTATATTACTATTATATTAGAATTAATATGCTAAGTAAAATATAGCAATCTGCTTTACACCACACATTTCAATGTACTTCCGAAACATAACATTAACAAGACGCCTGCCCCTAATTGTAGAGGTAAGGTGTACTGAACACCCCGTACTATATAAGTGTACCTATATTATGAGAGGAGGGGCCGATTTTCTGACACGGTAATCTTCGCCACGGTGAGCATCATGCCCACGCCACCGATCTCACTGTCTGTCCGACACCAACATAGGCTTATCCATATTTGTTAAATCCACCCATATTTGTAGATATAATGACGATAAATATGCCTTAATACGAGCGATAATTTTAGCAGTGGGGTGATGTCAGAAAAGTAGAACAGCCGAATTCTCGCGAATGTAACCATCTAGCAGACAAAAGCCAAAACTTTGTTAATACCAGGTTAAACTATGCCGAATTTAAACTTTTTTTTATTATGCCCACAGTTGTCAGCTGAGTCTCAATAGTAGCACAACGCACACTTTTATTGGTTCATTTTCGTTCATTTGTATTTTTTAAATTGTAATTTGTCTGTGTACACATTCGGATATAATGTATAACATATGGTATAAAGAATTAAGTTTGTTAAAATCAGGTGCTATTCATCTTTTTGATAATGTCATCTATGGTGACTTCACTGGTGCTGAACTCTGCCAAATTGACCAATTAATTTGGTTAAAATGAGGTGATATCAATACGTTTGGAGAAATATTTACTTTTTTTAAATCTGCTCATTATTTTACGAAGAAAGTAACCCTGAACTGATACCGTGCTATATTGACGGGTTTCGTTTATTGACCTATGTATTTAGTTTAGCTTAGTTTTCATGTATTATTTTGATGTAAAGCGAATACCAATGATAAAGCTGCGTTTACACTATCGATTTTTGTCAGCAAATCGTGCCAATTTCAAGCGACTCCAACTTTGCCCCCGACTTGACCCACAT